CCCTGATAAATATGCAGTTTGCTGAAGGGTGCTTGGCGGGAAGACCTCCCTTCCTGTATCCTCTTTTTTGGGGTCTGTGGCCTACTTCTCTGAGCCTTTTGTGGATCTTGGGCAGGTTTAGAATGTCACTCTACATCCCTATTCCTCTTCCACATTGCGCAGTATGCAGAGCAGTCCCTGATGAAGAATGCCATAAAGACATCTGAGGAGTCATGGATAGAACAGCAGATGCTGGAAGACAAGAAACGGGCCACAGACTGGGAGGCCACGAATGAAGCCATTGAAGAACAGGTGGCTCGGGAGTCCTATCTACAGTGGCTACGGGACCAGGAGAAACAGGCTCGCCAGGTTCGTGGCTCCAGCCAGGTGAGTCATGGGCTCTGCCATGAAACCTGTTATTTCCCATGCCCCCAAACAGAAAACATGCAGCTTGGGCATCTAGGAGGGAAGGAAACTCCCAGTCCCATCTGTAACTTGCCTTGGCCTTAGTCTCAGTGTTGTGCCTTGAAACTTGTAACAATTGTGCAGAACAAGCTTATGAAGGAGTGAGGGAAGGCAGCCTCTTCTGCTGGTGAGAAGAGGAAGAGATGGATAGATAGCTTCAGAGAGATAAGCTTTTGTTGAATGCCCGTTTGTGCCTGGCTCTGTGCTGAGGATGTAAAATCAGAAGATCTGGCCCGTTCTGCCCTTAGTGATCTCCTCTATTAAAGGAGATATACTTATCTGTGGGGCCCTTGACCCTGGCTGGGAGACCAGTGGAAATGGGGACTCTGGCTGGTTTGCCCAGAGGAAGGTTGAATTGTGAGGGTGGGTGAGGGACAGGGACAGACAGGCTTCTGAGGAGTCGAAGGAGTCCAGGGTGATTGTAGATGTTGGCAGGAGCTAAATAATTTGTTCAACAAATATTTATTGCAGGCCTGTGCTAGGGACTGTACTCAGTGCACTGGATACATTGGTGAGCCCAGCAGGCCAGTATCTTCCTTGACATGCTCACAGTTTTGCAGTTTTGCAGAGACAAAATAGACAGTAGATATAAAGGATACATTAGCTGAGAGGTGCCACTGTGGATAATGTTACCAGGGCTAAGGGTTTAATGGGGCTGGCATTTCACAGTATTCAGTTGCATGGGTAGACCTCAGAAGTGGGGGAGAGTTAAGCAAAAGCTTGCAGAGGGGAGAAAATTCACTGAGCGGGTATGCAGGGAATATGCAAGGGAGGGGGAGGGCCACACACCTGGTGTGATTTAGGCAAAGCCTGGAGGGAGGTAGGGGGTCTGGCATTTCACAGTATTCAATTCAATGCCCAGCAGCACTGCAGATGAAGTGGGGGTGGGGCCAGACTGAAGGTGGGGGTGGGGGGCTTATGGGCCCTACTGAGGACTTAAGACTTTTTACTCTTGAGTGTGGAGTAAACTACTGTGGGAGGGTCAAGATAAGAGGAGGCATAGATCTGACTTAAAATTACAAGTTCCCCTGATTGTTGAGTCTGGGAAATAAGGGTGAAAGTAGGGGACCAGCCAGGAGGCCACCGTGGTTGTCAGTGGAGGCACTGTGAAGGGCTTGGTTTTGGGATCCATTTGGAAGGTGGAGGTTACGGGATTTCCTGTCAGATTTGCTATAGAGAAATGCAAGTCAGGATAGTAAAGTAGCTTATTAACCTCTGTCCTGTGAGGAGCCTTGTGGCCCACCTTGTGGATGACAGTGATGATGACCTATCTCTAAGCTGAATCACAGCCAGGATCCCGGGAGGGAGCAGGCATTCTACTGAGATACAAGGTGGGATGTGTGGCTAGTGTGGACACTCACCTATTTCTTTCGTTAGTGTGGACACGCACCGATTGCTTTCTTTCTTTCCCACCATAGTCCCGGAAAGCCAGTGCCACATGCAGTTCGGCCACAGCAGCAGCCTCCAGTGGCCTGGAGGAGTGGTCCAGCCGATCCCCACGGCAGCGGAGTTCAGCCTCGTCCCCGGAGCACCCTGAGCTGCATGCCGAGTTGGGCATCAAGCCCCCTTCCCCAGGCACTGTCTTAGCTCTTGCCAAACCTCCTTCGCCCTGTGCACCAGGTCAGTGACTTGCTTACAGGGAGCCTGCTGGGGTTATGAGGCACTGCCTGGGGCTGGGGACCCTACCTCTGACTGTCCATCTACCCCAGGTACAAGCAGTCAGTTCTCGGCAGGGGCCGACCGGGCTACTTCCCCCCTCGTGTCCCTCTATCCTGCTCTGGAGTGCCGGGCCCTCATTCAGCAGATGTCCCCCTCTGCCTTTGGTAAGCCTTTTTCTGCCTGGGGCACAAGGGCCAACTGGGAGTTGGGGAGAGACTGGAAGGAGTAGCATAGTCCTAAGAGGAGGCTTCTGGAGCCTCTGGCTATCTCCCCAGGAAAAGGTGTGAAAAGTGCTGGAGGGAATGTTTCTAGCCTAGGAGGTTTGTCCTAGACAAACCTAAGTGGGTTTTACAGGCCTAGGGGAGTTTCCTCTTGGAAGAAGGGGTGAGAGGGATCCAGTTGGGATTTCTTCACGGCCTGGGATTGGCAAAGGGTCAGCAGCAGGCAGATGGGGAGCATACCATCACCCTTTTCCTCCTCCTCTTGCCCAGCAGGTCTGAATGACTGGGATGATGATGAGATCCTAGCATCGGTGCTAGCAGTGTCCCAACAGGAATACCTAGACAGTATGAAGAAAAACAAAGTGCACAGAGACATGCCCCCAGACAAGAGTTGATGGAGACCCAGGGACTGGACACCATCTCCCAGCCCCCACCACTCCTGCCCTCCGGCGCCACCCCACCTTCTTTGGCTTTCTCTCTCCTCTTGCCTCCTTCCCCATTTTCCCTCTCCCTTCTTTCCCCCTCCTCCCCACTTCCCTCTGGCTGGCCCATCCCTGTGCTCCCTCTCATCGCTGCTGCTGCCACCATCACCTGTCTCTCTGCCAGCTGACGTGCCCTGTTGCCCCCGCACAGCACCATCCCTGCATTCCACAGGGGACTCGGGCAAGGGTGTCGGAGGTAGGCGAGAGGCACCCAGAGACAAACCAACTGGCAGCCAGGAGCCCCAGAGGAGAGAGACATTCAGACAGAGGAAAGTCCCCTGCCCCTCATTCCTTTCAAGATCAGAAAACTTGTCACCGCTCCCCCCCAAGTGATGCCAGGGAGGTGGGAGGAAGAAGTGGGACATTTCCCTTCCCAGTTCCCCAAGAATGTCTGAGCCTTCAATGTTGAATTTTTCTTTATTAAAATGTACTTTTATCTTATAAAATCAACCAATCAAAAATGACAGACAACAGCATTGGCTCTGTGAAGGCGGCATCTCTCTGGTTTGGGGCAGACAGGCCATGGGGCATGGAGGGGGCACAAAGATGTGGGTTGTTGTCTTCTGGCTTCCAGCTACATGGATTGGGGCAGAGGGCCTAAGGTGTGAGCTGGTGGAGATGTCAGGTGTCAGACCAGCTTTGGACAATGAGACCCTGACCTTGCTGCATTCCTTTTGCTTCCACCACCACCACTAGCCTCTTTGGAATCTTGGGATGGGAGGCATCTTAAGGGATCATGGCCGCCACCCAGGATTTGAGCATAGAGTGTGGGAGCAGCCTCGGCAGATGGGGCACTCGTGCCCTGCAGGTGTTGACAAGATCCGCCATCTGTAATGTCCTTGGCACAATAAAACCAAATGTCAGTTTCCCTGAGCGGCTCTGTTCTGTGTGGGGCAGGAGGTGGGTGGGTCTCGGGACAGAGAAGGCAATGGCATGGGTCTTGGCTGGAGCTCTGAGGTCCAAGTGCTTTCCAGTAGTGTCAGTCTGGGGTCTTGGAATTTATATTTGATTTTCTGCTCTTTCTGAATATATTACCACCCAAAAAGCTCTCTTTACCTGCCACCTGAGCCCCTGCCTACCCCATCTCCTGGGGGTGTAATGGGAGCAGAGGACTGAGAGGGCAGATACTGAACTTATGTCTGAATTTCACTTCGCCAGCTGCCTCTCACCATGAACGTTTGTTCTTCCCTTATGATGATGATCCAATGAGGAAATGGTTTGGAAAAGCACAACTGACGCTTCGTGGCAACATGAGTTTGGTGGAAGCAGCCAAATTGGGTTTTAGAAGCTGAGGAATGGCTAAATCTTTTTTTATTCATGTCCCCCAGTCATCTGACACCTCTGCTTCTGCCCTTCCCAGGGGTAAAGCCAACATGGAGAGGGCTGGCTGACCCCAGGTTTCCTTAAGCATCTTTCTCTTGTGCCTCAGTAATAAGATCCCTGTGGCAGGTCTGTGTGTCTGGCTCTGCAGATGAGGACATGGCTGGTTGAGTGACTTGACTGTAGAGTGTCTATGGAATCCAGTGGCCAAGTATGTGAATGTTGGAGAGTTGGTTGAAACCTTCGTTGGTATTTTCTAGTGGTGTGGCCTTTTTCAAATCACTGCCTGAGTTTCAAGTGTTTATCTATACAACAGGGGTGGTTAAAGTCTTCTACCTTGCTCCCTGTCTGGTTGTGTGCATCGAGGGAGAAATGTATATGGTCACCATAATGTGCTATTGGGTATGGTATCCAGCACATTGTGAGATCAAGAATGTTAGTGTCGTTAATTATCCTGTAGTGGAAGTTTCTGTACCATTTAGCTCTTACTACTTCTCACTTCTCTGTCCAGTTTCCTTGGATTCTGCCTGCAATTTTCCCTTCCTCTGTTCTGAGCCACAATACCTTATTCGTTTTTAAAGATGGGTAGAGGAGGGTCACCTTCTGAGAAGCCCTGTGTAACAGTACTCACATTCTCACTTCTGTCTTCAAATGTTCCCAGTAACTGTACTGTAAATAAACTCCTTGGATAGGGGCTGTGAAGTCTAATTTCTGTTTACTAGGGGGTCTTCAAAAAGTTCCTGGAAAATGAGTATTATGAAAAAGCTAAGCATGGATTCAAAGTTTTTTTACAAAAATAAATGGTAACTTTATTTCCACAGACTTTTTGAAGTCGTCTGGTATCTGTAATTTCTGCATCCTTGCCAAGGCCTGGCAGGCTTATGATAGACCCCAGATGTTGAGTGAATAAGGGAGCATACGTGCATGTGTTTGCTATTGAGTGTTGTCTGTGTGTGTGCCTGTGATGAGTCCAAGTCTTTATGTGTGCCTCAGAGTGTCTCCAGTCATGTGTGTGACTAGGGCTTGCTTCCAGGTGTATCAGATGGTGATGGAGAGTGGGACTTTTATCTATGACAGTTTGTGTCTGTATCCAAGACGAGTGTATGTCTGCGTGGGTCTGTCTGTGACAGTGCATCTGTGATTTCTGATGGGGTGGATGTCCGTTTGTATTCAGTGACAGATTCTGGGTAGCTATTTCTAGACAGTTTCAGTGACAAGGCTGCTGCATGTCTGACAGTATATGTGTCTGACCAGTCCATGCATGTCTGCTTTTGTGATACTGCCTGTCTAGGTGGCTCTGTCACATCAGTGCATGTGTACCTTTGAGTAATGCATGCGTGTCTCTGGAGCCTCTTTGTATCTTCCTGTGACAGACTCTGGGTCTCTCATTTCTGGGAGAGTACATATCTGATGGTGTGTTTGTGATAAATTGTCAGTATATCAGGGCATTTTTGTCACCACATGGCAATGTAGGTCTATGTGAGTGTCAAGTGCCTGTCTTTCTGTAAACAGTGTATCTCTGGGTGTCACTCTGGGACATAACTATTTTTTCGGATAGTGCCTGCTTGACAGCATATGTCAGCCTGTGTGAAAGTACATGTGTGTCTGCATGTGTTTCTAGGACAGGTTCACGTGAATGTGGCAGTGCATGTTTATGTATATCATGGTGTTTGTGTGTGTATCTTTGGAATGCATGTTTGTCTTCCTGGGCATGTGACCTTCTCTGGGTGTTTTTCACAGATTTGTGTCTGTGTGTGTGTTACCACTTGTCTAGTAGCATCTTCTACCATGCGCTCTCAGTCTGCCTATCTCACCTGGAAGTGCAGTCCCACACCACCACCCCTCTGGCTCACCCCCATCCCCAAGACCCATCCTCTGTGGGTTTAGATTCTAGACCTGCTTACTGGACCCCAGGCTAAGGTCTAGCTAGGTGTGTCTAGGTTAAGGGCTCCAAAACACCGCCACCTCCCAGGGTGTGGGGGGTGTGGGGAGAAATGCTACCTTTGACCAACGTGTCTCCTGCAGCAGTGGTCAGGAAGCTATACCTTCCTGGCAACTGGTTAGGATCTTCTAGTGCCCTAGCTTCAGTTTCAGGGTGAAGGCCGCAGGTCTCGTAGAAGATTGCGGTCCTGGGTGAGGAGCAACAGGGTCCTGGGTTGCCTGCAGGCTCAGATTCTTAGACACCTGGCCTTATCTTATTTCCACGTTAATTTCGAGGCAGCGTGGCAAACCAACTTCTAGGAAGGGAGGCTGCGCAGTTAATTTTAAGTACACACACACACACACACACACACACACACCCCACCGCCACCACCACCACCACCATCAACAACCCCACGCAACAACCAAAACAAACGCGGTTGCTGCAAAGGGATTCCCAGAACCAATTTCCTCTCAGTGTGTGCCCCATCTCGTGCCCCCTTCATTTGCATTCAGGCCCCGCCTCCGCGGAAGAACCCGGTGCGTATTTGCATAAGGGGGCACTGGAAACGTTGAGGGTGGTATGCAAGTAAGGACTGCTTCCGATTGGCTGGGGGACTGCAGGTGCCGCGTCCGGATTGATCAAAGCCAGGTGGGCGGGGCCGTCGCACAGGGCGACTCTCCCGGGAGGCGCGTGACCC